TTCTTGTGTTAAATGCAAAGTTATGAAGATTCTTGGATGTATCATTAGATGACAAGTTTAAAAATAGGAAAATGTTACGGTCTTGTTACGAGTAATAGAACCGTAACATTTCCATAAGTGTATTTTTTCGCTGTGGAAGAAAAAAAAATTTACTGTGTGCATACTTCAACCATAGAAATAAAAGAATAATAAAACCGCGTGTTGTTAAGTCCAAAAACCAAATCAACACACGAGCTTCTATATTTGAATTTATGTGAGAAATGCCTTTCTTTCAGGGTGAATAATGACAAAAAAGGATTAGTCTTGAGGGAATGCAGCAGTGTTAAAACTTTTGAAGGAGAGCTTTGCCGCCCTTGTGGTTCTACTCGGCTCGATTTTGGATTAGTCGGTTCCCCTTTGGATCCGAAAACTGGAAGGTCCTTGTACCAAAAAAATAATGACAAAAAAAAAAAACTATATATATAATTTGAATAATTTTTTATTATCAATGAAAATAATAAATATTTTGCTATATAGATTAATTAGGCAATTCCCCACTATCTTTGCAATCCATATGGATGATGCTAAAAAAGGATAAACATATTTAATTATTGTTTTCCAATTTCGTAATTGCAAAATCTCAGATGAAATAGTTATTTCCAGTTTTTTATTTGATGCATTGTAGATACAGATCATGTTGTTAGGCTTGGGATTTCCAAGCCTGGATAACTTTTTATTATGTATTTCATTTACATTTTATTACTAGTTCATATATAATTGAAAAACTATTTTTTATAGACTAGCTCATAAATCATAAATTTAAACAAATAATAAATAACTAGTACAACACCCGTGTATTACACGGGTGTTTGCTAATTTTTTTTCTTAAAATTTAAAATTAATGAGAAAAAGTAGTTTGAAAATTTAAATATCTTTTATAAGAATATATATATTATTATATATTTATGATACTTTTTATTTGTGCGACTTACTTGTGTTATATTATACTAATTTTTTAACTTACACTATATAACTACATTAAATATAAATATATCAATTGAGAAATAATTTTATTTTTCTAATGAATTTTAAAAATATTATTATTTTTTATTATTATAAAGATAAATATAATTTATTTATTTTATATATACAATATGGATGTCAAATCGAAGATCATCAAAAGATGATTAATTTGATATATTATATATGTAAAACCGATAAGAAATAAAAAAGTTATCTACCTTTAAAATACATTTATATTTCAATAGCTTATTGAAGGAAGCAAATCAAAATTTAGGGATATATTAGTCACTTAGTGTCTCACTATGTAAAATTACAAATAATTAAATGGTTATATTAGTAAAAGTGATATTAAAATACCTAAGTTAACTAAATAATATTTATGGAATACCCGAACCTAGATTATTAATTATTAATATATTAATATTATTTGTCCAAACCTAATTACGAAGCATGATTCTTCGCCAAATAGGATTCTGAAGCACCAGAAGCAGCCACGTAGGCTCAGCGCATTCTGAAATTATATATAAGGAGGATATTATAACAAGAACTATTGTATACTCCACCCATTTAAGATATTGATTCGTTTTTATCTTGGTAAATTTTATTGCACGTTATTTTGAATAACAACATACTAGTACAACACATGTGTATTATAGGGTGCCACTTACTAAATATATACTAACCTTCACAAAAAAAAAAGATAGAGGAATGGGAATCATTGTTATAAATTTCAAATATTTTTTAAAAATAAATTTTATTATTATTGATACTTCCAATAACATTCATCACTTGTACGACTTACCCGTCTTATGTTATAATATTGTTTTCTAACTCGTATCATATAATGACTTCATAAATTAA